TGCCGAAGGTTCGGCAAGTGAAAGATCGGACACTAAGAAGAAGCGTAGAAGGAGCAGAAAACCGAGCAAATTAGCAAAAAGGATGGGAAGTCATGGTGCAACCCGACCACGACGACCGGAATTCCCTGTTTCCATCGAACTATATTAAGCATGCACATGAAAGTCCAGGTAGCCACCTTGAAGCATCGGTTAACTCTTTCCAGGTACACTACTAGGACCTGCAACGAATGGTATCTAACACACAAGCACCAATACCGTCATTTGTTGACGACGGATGTCGATTTGTGGACGAGTGGAAGAGTTCAAACCATGTGGATCCACCATGAGTTGTCGGCTATCTGTTTTAAGCTCTGCTGGAAATGCGGAATGTATGTTACATGTTCTTGTTTCATTACGATTTGTTCATGGTAATGGCCGATGATTTGGACTTTGTTGTAATCCTCCACGAGCACTGGTTGAGACTGATGACCAGGATGAGAAGAGAGAGTGACAGCTCGGCACATATATATTCTCTGATTCTTCGATGAATTCTGCCATCGCGTCTTATTCCATGCGTCTCCCTCTCACTTCAATCACAGAATCTATGAATGATCCGAGACGGTATCCGACGACATGGCTCACAGTCGCAAAGGAATATATTCCATTGCAGTATATGACACGGTGGCTGAGTAGGAAACTCTTGTCGACGGGAAAGACCACACCAGGAATATTTCCTCGGGAATTTTAATTACGCACTGGGACTGTGGAAAACCATTTATAATAGAGAACATGCCGAAGGACACGGCCCATATTGTGCCAACTGCATGCAAGATTTCAGACGCTGTCAGCTACATATGAGTTTGTTAACGAGGTGGCACGGGCGACTTAGTAAGAGACAGAAGAGGATTTGCGCTAACCTCGCGATAATCGATACGGTATGACCCTTGATTGAATCTGAAGCGGCCCAAGAACATGCTGAGCAGAAAGATCACGAACCCAGAGAAGAAGATTAACTTCTTCGATAGGACGGTCAGCACCACCAGAAGGCTGGTCTGCAGAAGGGTGACAAATGGCAGCACTTTCCAGCCAACAAAATTGCAAACGAGAGTAAGTACTGAGGAATCATCAACATAACACCGATTTCACTTTCCATGATCTGGCTCTTTCTTATTCATAATTTTTGAAATGACAGTCTTCTTTCAGTACTCTGCTTTGCTACTACCAGATCTGCGTGCTTCCCATCTTCACAAAGTGATTCCGTATTCAATTGAGTTTTTCGTGAGTGGGAAAGTGAGATGTGATATATATATATATATATAGAAAAGTCTGTTCCATTTATTGTTAGTGTTATATCTCGAATGACGAATCAAACAACTTCTCAACATGGACATCCTTGAAACTTGTTCAGAAGTTTAGGCGGAGCCTTTGATCACTTATAATAAAATGATTTGAGGTTGAAATGGAACTATTTAGAAAGTTCGTTGGGCTGGCAGACTTGCATTATCTTTTGGCTTGTTGAGGACATCGTGTCATTTCCCGGAGTTCTTCACGGGGCAGCGCATTTTACAGCACTTGATGAAACATGCGGGCAGGTAGCTGATTTTGTAGCTTGATAACGGCAATCGGCTCAAAACGTGACAGTCCTCACTTCATAAGCTGCTGCTCTACAAAGTCTACATGTATTTGAGTGTTCCGCAGGTGATAAATGTTTTTGTATGGGGCTCTTTCTCAGTTCTCCAAGTTTTCTAGCTTTTTGTAATGTCGATCACGCTAGATCTTGATGTAATTATCTTTCAACCGTTTTGCTGTGTGGCTTTGACTGTCAAATTCCAGAATATTTGTTCCTTCCTGATGGTAGCATCGCTGTGCATTCTGATATTTGCTTCGAAAAGGTGTTCTGTCTGTCATCCTCCTTCTCTCCCTCGCCTCTCGGTCATCGATTGAACACTCAACTCTTCACTTGCATCCCGTTTACAGTCCAAAGATTATTTTTACCCACGCATTGACGAATTGCAACATTAAGGGCGCTGGCGTCGCCGCAGTGGGTAGCCATTTCCAACACGTAAGGCCCTCGTAACATCCAGGTATGTAACTATCTAAGCTCGTTTTCATGCGCATTTAGAAGAAGCTCGGAGTTCACAAATGAAACGTAATTGCAAAGAAGGACCTCGTTGTTGCAGATTAAGCCCAAATCTGAGAGCAGTCTTAATATAGATCCTAGACACTCTGCGCCAAATTAATATTGTCCGCATCCCGAGGCCTGTGAAGATGTTGAATCTCTCTGTATTTTCGGAACTCTCGATATTTTCATCACATTTTGCTATACTTATATATATGTCTACACATTTTCGTTTTGATGTGACTGCACGGGCCATAATCTTGGCAACGTTGAGGGTCTCTCCCAACGTTACTGAAGCGTCGCATCTATGAACGATATTGGTCGAAATGCCAGAAAAGTACCGGAGTTTGCATTCAAAGCTTTCGCAGAGGAAATCGTAAGACTGCCATCTCTGTAGCACCCTATTCAGCGACAAAACTTATCACATAAAATTAGACTCTTCCCCTTGTATCAGTTGTGTACAGTATATGCGACCCTCTGATCGATAGATTCTGCAAGTAAACCTCAGACTCCATTCTTCAAAGTCTCGACCTGCATTTCTAGCAGCCTCCAGCTGATTATTCTCATTTTGAAGTCCATTTTCAGCAGTTACCATGCCTACAAGTGAGAGCGTGGCCATGCATAGTAACGGTCTCCTCGATGAGACGCATGGGATAACTTGGCTCTTAATAAGGCACTTAAGCTCGCACGAGCATGTATTCTAATAATTTTTAGGTGGCAAAGTACCACCACACGTAATTTTTTTCATAGTTATACTTTGATAGTAAGAACGTAGCATATGTGATGACATAATTTTGTTGATTTCTTGTAGAGTAAAAGATATTAAAAAATTAACTTGTATTTATGATAGATTGGCATACATTATTATATTATTAATGAATTTTGTTTCATTTTCAATTTGTGACCTTTTGTGGTAATGACTTTGGGATATAATTTTCTCTTTAAGGGGTTAAAAAATTACGGAAATTGAGGGTATTGTAAATTTGTTTTTTAGCTTAATAAATTTATCTATATTATCGTGTTTTTTATATTTTATTTATTGTGAGTGAAAAATGAATTTATTCAGGTCACATCAATAGGTTTATGATACTTGATATAATTGATCTTTCAATACTGTATGAAAGATGTAGAATTTGTTTGTCTTGAAATCAATTGTACCTTCCACACACCTTTATTAGATTTGAAAAAAATTATGATATCTTTACATATCTTTTGCTGTTCGTGATTGAGTAATGATTATTTTTGATATAACTCGATAACTAATGTACGATAAGGTGATAGAAAATTTTGACTTCTTTAGATCACTATTACTACATGGTATTATGTACACTAATTTCATATTTTTGGACAAAGTGTATTAAGATCGAACCTTCTAAATGGGTATATTACTATAGCATGTTTCTAATCTAATATACAAAACGTTGGTTTATGAAATGAAATAAATAATCATAACATGAATTAGAAATTATGATGTAAACATATAAAAGTATTAATAACCTTTTCTATTTATTACTTTGACCGTAAGTTCTCGGTGATGAACATTGTCTACGCTTCTTGATCAATATTTTGGAAATAGTACTCGAGCACATCAGGTGCAATGAACATGGCCTAAATACCGTAATGGTCAACGAATGAAGTCAGTACCTGCCCTCCCGAGGTTGAAGCGCACGTGAGCACTGGGAGGAGAAACACCGGCCTCGCAAAGATGAGTTCCGTAGGATCTAGTCATGATCCAACAGAAGGTTCAAAACTAATTGGGCTTGCGCCCGAAAAAGGTGCGTCCGTTCCAGACGAGTGGTCGCGTATAATTTGCCATGTCAGACAGGGGCAAAGAGACTCGAGCGAAAGTGGGGCCTTTAGGTTTCATCTGCTGCCTTAAGCAGGAACACCCTGTTTCTACTCTACGGCTTCGGTTCCAGACAGCTCTTCATGGCGAATCGGAGCCAAGAGCCGGACACGCGACAGAGGTGGGCCCCGCGCCCTCAGACATTGATTAAGTCTGCGAGGTCCCGACTCCCGAGCTCCAGTGGTCGAATGTCCATGTCCTGACGAGGATTGGCAGCCCGAGTTGTTGCGACCGGCCCTCGCATTCGTTCACTGAACGAGACCTCCGAACCGAGAGACGAACAACAAATCCGTCGTCGTTCGTCTCGCGAGTCGCCATCTCCATCCGAAGGACGGCGCCAACAGAACTAACGGAGAGGCCGCGAGATCTGGGCCTGAAGATTTGTAGCCAGAACTGAGGAAGACCAAGATCCCCGGCATGATCCAGCATGGCCTGCCACGTGGCAGGCATGTCCTCGGTGCATCCCCCTTGGCACCCCCCCTCAGGTGCCTAGATTCAAAGCCGACTTGAAACAGTAAATTCCTTCAACCACAACAGCCGGGAAAGAGCACAATATCCTGGATCTCCCGTGGAACGCGGTCCGATGCATCCCCCTTACCCCGAAACTGAAACTCCCGGTCCGCCTTCGAGATGGACCGGTTTTTCCCCCACTGCGGACCCGAAGGTTCCGGGGCGAAATGGAGCAGAGCGGCACGAGCCGGTATTTTGTCCACCGCCGGAAGGAAAATCCGGGAGGCATTCGAGGTACACCCCATCCGCAATCCAAGGTTCAGGTCTCAGGGAGGAGAGTACGAGCGAGTCGCCCGCCGGAATAAGGAACAGGACAATGGGAACCACATAACGAGTCCTGGGAATGGACCAAGATCTCGGCTGTCCGTACTTGCGCCGGTGGCCCAACTTGGAGCCCGCTGGCTGTGCAGCAAGAGGACAGGGGGCCAATGGATCAGGCCCCAGTGCATCCCCTGAGCCAGATGCAGAGTACGTACGGCGGCGAGGACGACGGTGGGCCCGCGGAGCCTCGACGGGTGCAGTGTACTGGTGTGCGGAGCGTACAGCGCAGCAGGTGGAATCAAACTGTCAAAACCATCATCTGGCCGGGAGAGTGGTCGGCTTTCTTCTGTATGGCCTTGTCGATCGTAGCTCGAGCGAGCGCGTGCCTTGCTTGCTGCTGTGGAGTCGGAAGGCAGTACTAGGGTTGGAAGAGCGAGTGCAGCGAAGGGTCGTGTCGGCTTTAGGCAAGGAAGGGAAGCAAAGCGAGCGAGCCTGCGAGCGAGGGCAGGGCTGGACAGGGCAGCGCTGTCTGCGAGCGGAGCGCACTGATTGAGCCAGCGAGTTACTGAGTAGAGAGGATGAATTTGGCCTCTGCAGATACAGATTGACGTAAGCTCGTATTCTTGTTCCCTTTGGTCGGGGTGAGCGGGGTCAAAGGTCTTGGATCTGAAATGTAATTGCCATTATCGTTTGGTTCTCCGGACGTTGGGATTCATCTTCCGAACTTTGAAAGATTCGAGTGTGTCCGAGCGGGAAGTGGGCGTTTTGCTTTTGTGGTTTGTTGCTGACGAGGAATGAAGGAAGAAAGGGAGGGGTAGGGTGCGGGAGAGGGCGAAGATTGTCGAAGACAGCGGCTTCCGATTGAGGCCTTGTGGCGGGCGGGACGAGGAGGACAGACGGGTTTTGCTTATTGGATGGATGCTACACTTCCCTTCGTCGTGGTTTTTCACCGGAGGATCTGACTGTTCTCCTCTTTCTCTGCAGCTGTGATTTTTGTTGCGGTGTCGTTTGCTGTGGAGCCTTACGACGTCAGGTGTATATTGAGAGTATTGGAGAAGTCCGTGGTTAGCAAGAATTTCGCCAGATTAGCCAACTGTTCGCTCCATGGATAATCAGGATCTGAAGCCGACTTTGTCCCTTGCCTGTATACCCAACGCACAGCAGAGTAGTAATGGGCACTTGCTGAGTTCTTCTACCCACCAGGAACAAAATGGGACGATCCACATGGACGGGAGTATGCCTCTCGGCGAGAACGCAATGTCGAACTCGCTGCAGCAGGTATCTACTTTGCGAAGTAATCAATTGACCGAGCGTAACGGCGTGGTCGGGGCTTCCGCTCAAAATCCCCATGAAATTATTGGGTCTGGAGAGACATCTTTGCAAAACTGCAACAGCCCTCGCAATGGGCGGAGTTCCAGGGAGGCTCCAATTGCGCGAGCATTTACTCCGGTAAATCGGGCGCCGAAGAGGAAGAAGGATCAGATCATGGCCTCGCCTCATGGTCGTGTAAGAGAGTCATCATTTCGTCCCGTTCCAGCCCGGAACAGCAACTTGGCAACGCCCCCTCAAAGTCCTCATCAGTTGGGTCTGCATTCGATTTCCCAACCTCAGGGTTCTCTGCCACAGAGTTCCCTTATGTCTTCACAATCTTCACAGGTGATGTTCACACACTTGAACTCTATCACTTCTGATAATTCCCAAAATGGAGGGAATCAACACCACCATCCGAACTCCACCCACGAGAACCATCAGTCTTCTCACCAAAGTGGGCAGTATGAAGGAAACGGGCCAGCTGATGCAGCGGCGCGAAGAGCTCAAGTAAGAGCGTGGGGTAATCAGCCTCTTAGCTCAGTGGATAGTGATCTATGGAAGATCATGGAGGAGGAGAAGGTTCGCCAATTTAAGGGTGTTGAGCTCATTGCATCGGAGAATTATACTTCACAGGCCGTGCTTGAGGCTCTGGGCAGTCATCTCACAAACAAGTACTCTGAAGGGTTGCCCGGGAGTAGGTACTACGGTGGGAACAAGTATATCGACATGATCGAGAATTTGTGCATACAACGTGCTCTTCAAGCTTTCCATCTAGACCCCAAGGAATGGGGTGTCAATGTCCAACCGTATTCTTGCACAACTGCTAATTTTGCCGTCTACACAGGCCTCCTGCAACCGAAAGATCGGATAATGGGTTTGGACGTTCCCTCTGGTGGTCATGTGAGTCACGGGTATTGCACCGTAAGTGGGAAGAAGGTGTCATCTGCATCGATTTTCTATGAGAGTTTGCCGTTCAAAGTAAACCCATCAACTGGGCTTATAGACTTTGAGACATTGGAGAAGTTTGCTGTAAACTTCCGGCCCAAGCTGTTGATTTGTGGAGGGAGTGCGTATCCGAGAGAGTGGGATTACGCTCGCTTCCGCGAAATTGCCAACAAGTGCGGGGCAATTCTTATGTGTGATATGGCTCACATTAGTGGTCTAGTGGCTGCAAAGGTAAGGGATATGTTACTGTCGCCGCTTTCTATTACCAAAAATTGCTTTGCACCTTCGCTCTCTGCTTTCGAATATACTAAGTATGTCTCGAAGTGAATTGATGGTTTCATCAAATAAATCCAAATTTTAATTTGACACAATCTACTATCTAGTAAACTACTTTCCTTCTCTTGTAAGCTGTCCTTCGGTCTTTACAATTTATTTTGACCATGGCTACCTGCTGATAAGCTCCCTTAGTGCTATATCAATCACCTGTTGTGGACAAACTTAGATGTTTCCTTTTACGCGAACTACCTGTAGTAGTGGTTTTGTCGAATAGCACTATTGCATCAGATCATCATCATGATGCTAGCGGAAGTATGAGGGTGTCTTTGTAAGTGTCCAAGATTTTACGTTGTAGAGGATTTGTCTTAACTTAACTCTACACTAGGTTATCGTGAGCATATGTACCTGATCGTGCCTAAATCATCGTTTGCTATTTCTCTTTGCAGGAGGTTGCAAGCCCTTTTGAGTATGCAGACGTAGTGACAACTACAACTCACAAAACCCTCAGGGGCCCTCGAGGTGGAATGATTTTCTACAGAAGGGGACCGAAAGCGAGAAGAGTTGTCTCTGCATATGGTGGGGGTTCAACTGGGGCGTCTGAGAACTTCTACGATTTTGAAGACAAAATAAACTTCGCTGTCCATCCATCCTCGCAAGGAGGGCCTCACAACAATCACATCGCCGCGCTCGCAGTTGCTCTGAAGCAAGTCAATACTGAGGAGTTTAGGGATTACATTCGACAGGTGAAGAAAAATGCTCAAACGCTAGCGAGTGCATTAATGCGACGAGGCTGTGTGCTTGTAACTGGCGGTACAGATAATCATCTGTTGCTCTGGGACGTGCGCAATCGAGGTCTTACTGGTATGTTCTTTTCCATGAATATTTGTGTTGCAATGAAATCCTCTGCAGCCAGCTGGATTATGTCAAAGTTTGTATATCCAATCCGTACTGGTGAATGAGAACATCTGGTTGTCAGCTTGCAAGGAGCTTCTCCTTCGCTTCAAGAGCTGGGCAGGCGGTTCACTACATGCCTTGCGTCATTACTTTGTATGGAATTGCTTAGTAGTGATGATTGAGAGGAGGTATAAAAGCGGAAGAAAAGTAGTTTATATTTAATTACATAAACTAATAGAAGTTGTAGTCATGTATTACATTAGAAAGCGTCTTGTATGTGGGCTGGACATGTCGTTCGAACTTTTTCCGGAACGCTCATCGTTTAACCATTCGTTTAATTAATTACTTTCTGGTTTTCATTTGCTGCTTTGACTTCTTGCAGGAAATCTTTTGGAGAAGGTCTGTGAACTTTGCCACCTGACACTGAACAAAAATGCTGTTTTCGGTGACAATAGCGCTTTGTCCCCCGGGGGTGTTCGGATTGGTATGTCGTCCCGAATTTGCTTCCATTTTTTGTTTGCTTTTCCACATGCATGTTGTATATCATTCTTCATTTCTATTTGTTGTTGTTACTAGCATATGAAAGAGCTAAGTATGCCTTCCAATTGGCTTTTAATTTCATGTAAACTGAAGCGGCCAGGACTAGTGGGTAAAAGAAGTGAAGAATTTTTCATGTTGTTTCCAGGTACCCCAGCCATGACTACTAGAGGATGTGTCGAATCTGATTTTGAAATCATTGCGAACTTCTTGATGAGAGCAGTGCAAATTGCCGAAAATGTTCAAAGTGAGCATGGCAAGTTGCAAAAGGAGTTTCTTAAAGGTTTGGCTGATAATAAGGAAATTATTGAGTTACGAAATAACGTCGAGAAGTTTGCGTCCGCTTTTGAAATGCCTGGTTTTGATATTATTCCGAAGAGGTTTTCGCAGTGACCTGTTGTATCCATTGTCAATAGTGATAACTCCCGCTTACAGTTGGAAGATTTGAATCAAACTCAGTTAGAACGGTGCAGTGTTTGAGAAGAGTTGGTTGTTTCTCTTAACGTTTACATACGTTTTTCTCCCTCTTGTGGAGTATATTCTGATACTGCCTTGTAGAATGTAGATCATTTCTTTTGTTATCATCTGATACACAGGGGGTGAGTTGATGTACGGGTGCTGTCACCATCCCTTTTATAGTTCTGGTGACTGCCCACAAATTTCTCACTGTTCCTGGCCCAATCAGCTAAAATGGGTTAGGAGCTTTAACGTATAGTAGAATATCACATTTACGTGTTCTGTCTTGGACTCCGTGATTAGCTAGATTGTACATGAATTACACCCATAACAGCAGCGATGTGATATGGAGTCGGGCTAGCAAGCTTGGATATTCTTGGACCTCGTTTTCTGTAGTTAGCAGTTTCCATCACCAATGTAACGTACGAGGGATAGGACAATGTCCTTTGTGAGATATTTTTCACGAAATCTAAACCCAAGTTATCTCGTGGGTGAGAATTCTTAAATGAGTGTATTGGTGCACTCCTATGTTTCGAACGTACGTGTACGAATATGGGAATGGTTGGTTCATGTGTTGCAAATGTATGTAGCGGAAATGGGTAGTAATGGTTTACGTTAATTGTACCGTGAAATATGAGTTTTGAAGGTGTGGCTATCATGTAATAAATTGTGGATAATCTAGATGATAGTAATGATTGTAACTTATTTTACGATAGTCGGCTATCTAGCCTATTAATTTGGCCATATTTGTAATCTGGTACGTACGGAAAGGTTATCATACTAGTTATCGTCAAATATATTCTTTGGATGCAGTAAGTTGTCGATTTCATCTTCTAGTGACATTTTTGTGTGTTAGATGTTTCTGTAGTATCATGCTCTTTATGAGCAATTATCGAACACCATACAGGATATTTAGGATGAAGCATTCTTATTTTGAACTAATGTCATTGTGTTGTAAGTTTGTTGTGTCCGCTGAAATATACACTCTGCATATGTACGTATGTGCATGGCACTCTTACAATGGAGGTGACTTTTCGTTGTATGTAAGGGGGTGTAATATGGTGATTGTCGAGACTCGCTTTTTCAGAGAACGTTTTTAAAACCAAAATAGGTATGATGTGTGTGGTTTGCAAATGATTGAGCACATAAGCGTAAAGCATTTCCTTTCCCATGTACAGTATGAAGAATATGTATGAGTATATGTCTTAAGTGGGCTGTTAATTTGAAATCGACATTTACTGCTCGTGGCCGCTAACAGAGACAAATCAAAGAACTGAAATAAATGTAGTGGCTTCTAATAACAATATAATGTAGAAAAAAATCACAAAGAAAACTACTTCTGAACACACGTAGAAACGTGAAATATACTGTGCGTATACAATTTCCTCGATATTGATTTAGAGGGGAATATTAACATATTGTAAGCATATTACTGACAACGTGAAGTCCGTATCGTCATACAGTGAAAATAATGCAAAACTTTAGAATGATTTAATCTCAAATTGGATAATATTAATAGGTTATAAATCATAATAAGTTCTTAAGCAATGCAAACATGAAAGGAACAGTAAAGAACGCAATCTTCAAGTGAATTGAAAATTGGAATATTCAGAATGTCTTCAAGCTAACTGGCCACTTCAATCTTGACCATAATCCAAGACAATATGTATTCAGAATTCATATATACGAAAACGCATACTTACTGCAAATCTTTCTACATCTCTTGCGAGCGTTTCTAAGTACGACAATGAATTGACTTAAATTATGTACAGATGCGTTTATTTTACTTTCATGCATTATCGACTAGTTCAACCTAAATGGGTTTCCTTTTCCGATTCAAGGAGTGGTATCGTCTGATAACTATTTACAAATCTCTTGGTACCATCGACTTTGATTTCTTTTTGAATATTCTTTATGCATTTTTTTACTGAAAAGCTGTTTACTTCAATTCTATGGTAGTAAACGATTAATAGGGAAACTCAAGGGGTCAATAGTAGATAGTAAGTTTGATGTCTCTTAACTTCGATGATAATAAATTCATGTAATTTTGAATTTCTCATCACAAAGTTGGGACACAATCATTTTTTCATAAAAATATGTCTTTTGAATATATTTTTACTTGAGTAGAAAAAGAAGTAAATAATGTTTATCTAGCTCTCGATCACATCATACAAAACAAAAAAGATATGTTAAGATAGTTAAGTAAAAATCTACATGAAATGTCAAAAAGTAATTTTAAATTTTCCTTACGAAATATGATGATGAAGATTCTATTCAATTTGATATCAATACTATACTATTGCAAAATATGTAGTCTCATATTTCTCATTACATCCATAATTTGTTCATCATATATTTGCCTTGTATTATATATTACATGAAAAATAAATCAATATTAAGTTACTTTCTCAAATTTACATAGAAATATTTTGGGAAATTTATATTTTAAATTTGAATCTATCATCAATTGTCATATCTTTTAACCTCCATTAGGAAATACATATACAATTTCCCCCTTTTTTTTCCATACGAGGCCAAAGCATTCAATTTTTCTATCATATGCAAAAATATTGTTTTCAAAAAAGTATGAGAATGATTATAATCTCTAAGTATTGTTATTTCAAAGTATACTCAAATATTTTAAGAACTTCCGTTTTCTTAAACTGATTTTAGTTTATATTTCTTATGTGATGATTGTGCAAACTTAAGTTCAGTTCTAATCACTTATTCAGTATGGAATTTATTACATTTATTTAAAAATATTTTATGTAAGCAATAAATGCTGTAAAATAAATTTTACTGAAAATTAATATTGAGTTATTAAATTTTCAATATATTTGTAAATTAATGAAATATTTATTTAAATAATGAAAATTAATTATTAATTTAACTTCTGTTTTATTTATTTTCAAATTAACACTAATAATATAAATACTTAATACATTTTTTGTAGCAAATTTCATTTGATAAATTGAGTGATAATAGATTTATTTAAATTTTGATTAATAATTTTCTTCGGTGATTAAAATTTAAAAATTTAAAAATTTAATCTGGATATAAATCACTTAAATTTTTTGGACGTGTGATATTTTTAATGTGAAAATATGTGCACAAAAATTGTGAGAAAATGTGAAAAATTCAGTATTTAAAAAATTATTCATGATTTTTAGATAAAATATAAAAAGAAAACAATAAATACATTTAATTTTGTTATCAAATGTATCACAAATCTAATCTGTAATACAATTTTAATTCTTAAAAAATGTTGATGTTTGTCATATCCTAAATGTTGAACTTACAATCAATTGTCACAAGCATGCACACACATATACATAATATATACACATTGTTCGTCACTGCAAGCTAAAACTCTAGGGACAAAAAATACCTAAAATGTCAGGAAGAGCTTTCATGAGTTCTCATATATATTGATTGTCTAATCAACTTCATTGATTGAGGTTAAATAAACTTGAGTAACAAGAAGAACATAGTTAACTCATAACAATCTACTCTTGAACTCATGTTGTAGGCAGAGTAATCCAAGACTCATACAATATGGCATATGAAACTTTTGCCCTTTCTTTATTAAAAATGACATTGAACTTGGTTTATCACTGACATAATTAACATTTCTCAACAACATGATTTATTGTTGTGCTTAAGAAGAGTAGGATACTTAAAAGATATGAAAGAAAATAGAAATGCTTAGAATGCATGATATTGGCTAAAACTAGTAATGTTATATGTGTTCATCAATTGTCTTACTCAAACTTGACAACCAAAAGATTGAACTCCACAAATCACATATTCAATAATGCAATAACAAGCTCATACATAACTAACACAAATGTTCAAATCAAATGATGTTGTCTTTTTTTTTTTGTTTCTATTGATTATTTTGATTGATTTTTGTATCTCAAACGTGGTGGAAGTCGTGACTCTTTAATGCTAACATGAGGATAGTCTTTGCAGCTTTGACAAACTACTTTTGATACTACTAAATACGATTTTTTATAAATGCTTTTAAATGTGATCACAAAATTAATTCAACATGTAAATGAAGATGCACATGAGCATCTTAAAATGTTAGCACACATAACCGGCGGAACTCAATATTAAGAATATTGTTGTTATTGTTTTGCTCAACATGCACGATGGAAGCTTCAATGATGATGATCAGTACTAAATATCTGATATTTTTGAAGACGTTGGCTTTTTGAGGATTTGAAAGTGCTTTGTACATATATTGTGTCTCCACAAGCGTTCATTGTGAATATAATAGCAAATTGAATTAGTCAAAATTCTTTATTCATCACTAGTATCAAACATCTCCACATTAATCTATGAAGAAGATGAAATCATCAATTCCATGAAGTTGTTTAACATTGTCAAACAACAACGTGCATATTGACAAAGTTTTCCATCAATGTCAATATTTTATCACTCTATTGGAAAATGATTTTGTGTCAGACTGACAGGAGCTGAAAGTGGTTTGCGATTGCTGTTATGGATAATTCATTTCAAAGAAATTTTCAAATATCATCCATCCGTTTGTATATTATAATCATTCCAATCTCATTTCAATGATGAGATTCAACATTGATAGCATGTGCATTAAAAAGGCACAAGCAACCTTGTAAAAATCTCCATTGCTAATATTGTTGATGGTATGCTTCACGACAAGGTACAACAAATGCAAATTTCATTGCACATGCAACATTAACATCAACAAATTTTTAAAGCAACGTCGCAATGCCAACATTTTGACATATTATTGTGTTTAATTCATTAGATGCCAAAAAATCTATTTATCTAGACAGGCATAGCATGGAATATTCAATACCATGCTAATCATCTTCACATAGTTGAATGCATTGTGACGCATTTTGACATTTAAATAGTACATCAAAACCAAATGAAGATTGATTAGATTTTCATCGACACAAACACAAATATGTTATCCAATCATGACGTCTTTTGATGTGTTGACTCATCGCCTACAAGCAAGAGTGTTGAGACAGATGAATTATATAGTTAGTTAAAAAGTAGTTGTAATGCAGCAATCTAACAAAAAGTGTACATGTTGTCACAACATATGATTGAAGACTTTCACTAGCTTCGCATTCTTTGTACAATTGCAATGTTGCGTGATCACAATCGCAATCTGATTGAACAAAAGATGAATCTTGGTATGATCGATTGAGAGCCAGAAGTACAGATTATTTTGGATCTTCACAAAAATCATCTTTTTCTGTGAATTTGAAAAATTTTATTGCATTTGCTTTAGAGATTAGTTCAAACTCTTTCACGTTCTCATTCAATCTAAAAATTGAATAACATATCAACAATCAAGTCGTTGACAATGATCAAGTTAGAAATTTCAAACTTCATATTGTTCTTGATGTTGTTGAGGAAAACATGAATGAATGATTGATTGTTGTTTGTTGTCAAAATAACTTTTTTTTCTCCACATACAATTATTTATAGCTT